ACATTTGTTTTCGCTCACTGAGAAGGAAATACAAAGCCTCTGGGGAACACTTAAGCGTTTGATTTCCCTTCGCTGTCCCTTCCAGTATTCTTTGAAGTTATTCATCCACACTGAAGAGAATGGTTATCCCATAAATTTATACGGATGTGGAGCAAATACATTTACGATATATCACGTAGGAGCTGGAAGTTTTTTTTTGACCATTAAATAAAAAAGTATTTTAATCAGAAAGCTGTGTGTGCAGTACTTAAGATAATTTAAACAGGAATAGTAAAAAAAAAATCTGTTTATTAACAATGTCAAGGAATGCGACAAAGTCTGGCCATTCATGCTTCCACCGTAGCTGTGACGAACTGGTCACCAACATAGCACTTGGTAGCACTATATTGCCCTTCAGTTCATGAAAAGAACATTGCGCAGTAATAGGACTATAAGGAATATCTTTTCATAAAAAACAAACCAAAATACTCAGAAGATCCAGGTATATAAACAGCTGAATAAGCAGATCTCACATTTTCCTGTAAAAGCTAAGCTTGGCCCCACCTCTAAGGAACAGGGAAGCCCGGAAGCCAAGTCCAAGGTTGATTTTGCAGAACATGTAAGTTTTGAATGTATATTTAGCTGCTTATTTCAATTAATTTAAACTCCAGCGAAAATGTACAATGTTTTGACTTATACAGCCCCATTTTATGAGCTAAACTGTGCTAATATACCTGCTATAATTTACACTCCAAAGACATGCTGGTAGATTAAGTGGCTCCTTTTATGTGTGTCCATGTATGTGAGATAGAGACATTAGATTGTAAGCTTCTTGAGGGCAGGGACTGATGTGAATGTAAAAGCGCTGCGTAAATTGTTGGCATTATATAAATACCTGTATTAACAATAATAATGATAAAAGTAGGGCTGCGGAAATTAACGATTAATCCTTCGATCAATCGGTAATTTTCTTTGATCGATCAAAATTATTTTGATCCATACTCACCTCTCCGCCGGCTTCCGGGTCTTCCGTCACCGGACTCCTTCCACAAGTGGCTCTGTCGGCTAACGAAGGGAAGGGGGGTGGAGTCAGGTGACGTCGATGTCCGGTGACGTCGATGTCCGGTGACGTCACTGGACTCCTCCCCCTTTCCTTCGTTATCCGATGGAATACACAGTGAGTACACAGCCTAACTCTCCCGGCCGCCAGGCTATTGCAAAGTGAAATAGCCAATAGGAATCTAGCTATGCATTCTTATGCCTTTTTTTTATTATTCTGACAACTGCAACTGGCAGAATACTTAAAAAAAAAAAAAAGTCTGCAGATAGCAAAGAAGCTATTGCTTCCTGTGCGATCTGCCATCATTTCAGGGGGGTGCTCTCTCCCAGCCCCCCCTAACCCCCCCTCCGCCGATGGGGGGGGTGAGAGTGCACCTCCCTGAAACAGAGGGACACCTCCCTGACATTGCTTATTTCAGGTTGGGATCCCTGGCATTGGCCTATACACATACAGCACAGCATATAATTAAGTAATAGCATGAACTAGGATCACACTAATCCAGCACGTTATTATTCTGAGTTGCCCCACTAAAGCGACGGCCATATTCAGTGGGGCGCGTGAGATTAATAACGTGCTGGATTAGTGTGATCCTAGTTCATGCTATTACTTAATTATATGCTGTGCTGTATGTGTATAGGCCAATGTAGTTGGATCTTTATGTGCGTTATAATTAATCGATTAAAAAAAAAATTCGATTAATCGAACAGGAAAATTTTAATCATTACCAGCCCTAGATAAAAGTAATTATTTTGGAAATTTACCCAGTGACTCTGCCAGTGTGTGCTTTAGCTGTGTATTTCCTCTCCCAGGCCCTCAATGTTAATGTGTTGCCATTGGCATATGCATTGTCGGCCCTCTGATTTGCATCATCACGCTGATTTCTGTAGACCTCAGTATTGTCGGCCCGTGAAATATTGCTGGGTGGGGAGAGATGTGCAGTCTCATGTCTGATAGTGATGACATAGAGACCAAAAGCAGACTCCACCCACCACCCAAGAGGAGGTATTGGCAGTCACATGACCTCAACTTAAAATGTTTTAAAAATCCAATGTCTGCAGGCTGATTTTTTTTTTCCTCTCACAAATACAGACATTCAATAAAGGGATGTCCTTGCTGAATGCTATATGTATGGTATATATTTGCCATATACATTACCATTTTTGACATGTGACTTTCCATGAAGGTGATATCTGCTAACCTGTCACGATTAGGGCACTGGGGCACCAGGAATCATAAACTCTGGGTCTTGCGGGGAAGTATATAGTGACTGGATTAGGAATGTGCAGGAATAAGGGTCTCTTAAGATGCCAGAGACGCAGGATGTAAGGAGCCACCTGGTCTTCCCCAGAGCCACTGATGGTGTGGATGTTGAGCTGCGGGGCAGCTCCCAGGTTGCGGCTCTCTGACACACCCGTGCAGGCACAGTGCTAGCGGGTACTCGGGGACCACAGCACATGGGACAAGACACAGGAAGCAAACAGGATACAAGGTACAAAAAGAGGCACTAGAGGGAAGATGCAGGGAACAAGCAGAGGGGAATGCACCAGAGAAAGGAGGGAGGTGCACTATAGTGCAGAGCAAAATTACCACAAGAAGCAGGAGGTAAACCACAACACGGCTAACTGGTATACACTGGGGCAAGGCTGCATGGAAACAAGCAGCCACACCGGAGGAAGGCAGACAATCGGGTAGTGCAGGTGAAAACGCTGACTGAGGAGGGGATTTCCATCCACTAGCAGGACCAGCAGAAGCTCACATGGAGCACAAGGAATGAAGGCTCACACTTCAACCATATATAGCATGGAAGGAGCACACAAGGAAGGGTGCAAGTACAGGAAAGGATACTGAGTGTAAACAACACGGAACTACAGGCACACTAGGTGATATGCACAGGGGGAAGGTACAGGAATAAACAGAAAGCAGGGCAATGCCACGGAAGTACCAGACGCCATGCAGGAAGATAGCGTCAAGGGAAAATGTGTTGCACTGCAAGACACAGAAAAGGGGGTGCAAACCTACAAGCAAGATGGGAAGCTAACACACACAGGAGCCACAGGAACTGTAACAAACGGGCACAGGAAAGAGCAAAAAGGGAAAATCCAACCGAGAGGTTACAGGGTACACTGGAGTCACATAGGAGGCATACAGGGATGCAAGGGGAACCAAGCCAATACAGGACAGTACTAAAGCACAGGGGGGATAGGGAACGGAGAGATCCAAAAAAGGACACAAAGAATCACAGGTGGTCCAGCACAAAGGATGGGACTTGTTGCTCAAACCAAAAGCAACAAGTGAGAGGGTGCCAAGTAGGGGAGGAGGTGTGCAGATTGGCTGCAGCCCTGTGGAATCCCATAGGCTGACAGCCAAGCACCAGGGACCCACATGAAAACCTGGCATGGATTGCTGGACACTGTGACATAACCCATCTTATGGTCAGGTTCAATTGCCCAGGTTTGTGGTAGGTTTACTTGACAAGGTCTCACAAGGCAGTGCTTGGAACTGTATTTTAGGATGTAGAAAAGATTACCATGTGTTTCCAATATCCCTAAGTACTAGGTATTCCTTAGGGCTCCAGTGAAGCACGGGGATAGTTTGTACAGCATGCTTCTTGTAGCAGTTATAAAGTGAATATTACTGTTAAGGAAAAGTATCGTACTTATTTACTTAAATTTTTCATTCTGTCACACATTTTCTTCCACCTTGCTTTGAGTCTGCCTGGTACTCCTTAATTTCCCTGTAAGACATAAACTGAAAGAACAGCATAGGCACAGATAGCTATTTATGTTAGCCATGTCTGTTTTGTGTACTCTCTCTAATATAAGCAACCAAAGCAGGCGCCCCTATGATATAATAATTTTTAAATTTCCACAGGTATGTGTTCCAGGTGGGCTGGGACCATCATGAGATTTGAAAAGACTGTCACATGTAAAGCTCAAGGACAACGTTCTCAAACCTTGTCACCAACTTGAAAAAATACAGGTAAAAGCAGAGAAAAATCATAATTGAATTGCCTACTTGCTGTGTTTTTCCTTTCCATCAACTGTTTTTTATTCACTTGTAATGTGCTCTTGAACTTGCTAGGGAATATAACCACTTCAACAGTAAATTTCCTAGCACAGACCCCCTCCCTCTTGCAATGTCATAGCACTTTCCTCTTTTGGGGTGTCTAATTACTGTATGTCCTGGCCCAGTTCCTCTGCCCCTCACCTCCCTTCATAATCTTTTTGTAGTTTCTGGGGCAGAAGTGAAGGGGAATAATATAGTGTCATATGAGGTTTAGCACTGCATCTGCTGACATCACATCCAAGATTGTGGCGCCTAGCAGTAGTCTTGGGTCTTTCAGATGTCTACACAATGTAGGCATTTACAAGTAAATCAGGCATAAAATACTTTAAATCTTCTTATGAGAAGATTGTTGTTAAATTTGCAGGCTGGGTTGCTTTAAAACAAACCTGTCACCATAGTTACTTTTGCAAAAAAAGCCACCTACAAAAGAAGTGTTTTTAAACCTTTCTAGATGCAAGTGTAAGGAAAATCCACTGCTTCTCTGCTGCCCAGCCACTGCAAACATTCAGCCATCAGATGAGTGAAATGCTTGCTTCCACAGTTAGCCACTGTGGTCCCTCCCATCTCCTACAGGACATCACAGGAGGAACCATAGAAGCTGTTGGGGGGAACAAGCATTCAACTCAACTGATGGACAAAAGGTGAGTAAATAAATGCCATTTTAGAGAGGGATTTCTTCAGCACAGAATAATTAGGTAATTAGGGAACATAATAACTAAATATAATGTCACCTGTGCTGTGCACACTGCATTCTGCTTTTGAGATCTTGTCATTCTCAAGAGGTAGAGGGGGAGATTTCCACAGAAGAAAGCATTACAAATTCACTAGCTACCATTCTCTTGTATAATGAACACTAAATGAAAGTCATCCATTTCTGGAACTGAAGAGTACTTACATGACAAATCTCCAGGCAACATGCTCATCAGTAATCCAGCTGGAAGAGAGAACAGCATTCACTTAGTGGAGTTGAAAGAAGCTACAAGAAAGGTGATAGGCCCTTTGTAGTATCTCCCCATGAGCTGTGATCTTAGACATTCCATGGGACAGGTAGTAACTGTGCTAGGTCACTTGATCTGATAACAGGCTGCAAATCCCCGACAGCTATTGTTTTATCAGAAGCATGGGTCACAGTTTATCATAAACAGTATTCATGGTATCGTAAATTATTTTTCAAGTACATTAGAACATTCTATTATGTGTATGGAACGCTCAAATACAGTATAAAATAGCATGAAAGCGGAACAGATCTGTAAAGATGAAAAGAGATGCCTGAACTAAACAAAAAGCATCCTAGTTAAATGATAGCTTTTGTTTTATGACATTTTGAAAAAGAGAATGGCTTCATAGAAAACAATCACTGACAGAGTGGGAACATTTTTCTTGTCTAGAGAATGCAACATAACCAGCAGTTAAATGAGAACCCCAATCAAATTTAAAAGTAGGACATTTTTTAAAATGAGAACTGAAACTACAGACAGTCAACACTTTGGGAACCATTACATTGATAAGAAGGTAAAGATGAAGTCTTTGAACTCCTAAAATTCTTTTCTCTGAGAGAAAACGTTTTTGATTGAAGATCAGTTAGAACTAATGGGTTATGATGCCCATTTTCAGAAGTGGAGGCTAGGTACAAAAAAAACGAATAAGGTTGCTAGGTGGACAGCTCACTTGGGTGGCTTAACAAGGAAAAAACAAAAGGAGCGCTACTACCCAAAAGTTATTCGTAATTTGATGTAATTCTTTGATGGCATATATGATGAGAGTGGAAGGTAACTCACTGTTGGATGGGGGCAGTAGAAATACCCTTATGAAAGGATGAATAGTTGTGCTATCAAACAGAAGAAATCCTGCATAATCCTACAGGGGAGGAAGGCTGGTGGATCACAGAGCCTCTGGCTGAAACATGTGCTGGCAGCTGTCACTCTGATTGAAAGGTTCTCCAGATGTAAATGGTGGTGTACAGGCTCAGCCGGCCAGGCTGAGCCCTGACTGCTGTGAGGAGAAAAGTCCATGCCGCCAGTCAGTTTCAGATGTAACGCTGCTGCTGTATGCAGAAAATGTGGATGTCCGTGGGGTAAAGAGTTCAGACAAGGTTGCAAAGTATGGGCTACGCGTTTCTAGGCTCTACCTCTTTGTCAAGCCAGAATGGAGAAGAACGAGAACTGGCGGGAGTAGGAGAGGCTTTTTAAATTTGACAGATGGGTGGAGCAAATGGTGGTGTAACTATATAATTGGTGAGAACATAGAAAGAGGCTGGTCAAAAGTTTCAGTGATCGGCAATACCGCTGCATGTTCCCGAAACTTGAGACAATAAATAAAAACAACTAAAACTTAACTTTTAATGGATTGACTAATAAGTATGAAAATATAAAAAAGGAGTGGACCATGTCATTACATTGAGAAATGTAATGAGGAAATTTACGAGGTTTATTAGCGGTATCGATTTACTAGGAGGTAAAAAAGGTGTGTGATGGAATTTACCATTGAGATAAAAGTATAATGGATGGAATCCTTTGTTGGTAGGCTTGTTTATTATTAAAATAATAAACAAGAAATAATAAGAAATAATAAGGGTGTTGTGAGTTGCTGTGTGCAGGGAGCACACAGGCAATATTAGTAATATTATAGTGCAGGGGTGGTAGAATCCTCCAATTACACAAGTGAAATTAGATGGAAGCAAATAGGGTGAGGTGTAATAAATTATGATATATGAATTGTAAAAAATTGAAAGATATGATAACAAGCAATAGTTAAATAATTAGATTAAATCAATAGGATAAATGAATCTATTATGTTAAGGATTATATGGAAAAGGAATCTAAAAAGGTGTAAATGTATTAAAATATTACAATATAATCATATTGTATACAATCAATACAATCATTCATATTTATATGTTCATATAATTTATATGGATGCACGTATTAAATATGTAGAAATGTAAAAAAAAAATTTCCACCTTGGGTGGCTTAACCCCAACTGTTAGAGAACATATAAGAAATCATACATTAGAACAGGGATACACACATCCCAGGAGCCCCATATGATCCATAAAAATGACAGCTGCCTCCTAACTTTTGAGTTTTTCTCTAGTCTAGTCTTGGAGCTGAAAAAGTGCTTGGTATCTGAGCATTCCTACTGCACAGTATAGTTAAACTGGCCGGAACTGCGCAGTATGTTCTGGACTGTGCAGACAATCAAGGTAAAGTGGCATAAACCTGAACTGGGCAAGAAACATAGACAACGAGCTGGGTTAGCTACCCGGCAACAGTAAACAAAAGTGACGGGAATAGCAAAAAATGAGTGTGCTCTGCAAGGAAACAGGCTTGCAGGCAAGAAAAAAGTGACATAAAATAAAGGCAAAGGAGAAAGATGGAGCCGAGCAGGACAGTCAAAGGGCTGGACAGCAATATTAGCCTCACAGGCAAGCCTCTCTGATTTAGATATCCAGAGCCTTGCGGCCTATATTGAAAACATGAACAAGGTTGTAATGGTGAGAATCTAAGCAAGAATACACTAATGCACAATGGCTAGATTAGGGGGACTTTGAGGATCCAATTCCAACATGTCTATTAGACAGTAGCTGAACAAAAACAGATCCTAAGCGTGGCCATACACTGTGCGCTTTTCCTCATTCAGTCCCACAGGCAGAGATATGTGTGCCGCTGTCAGAATACCCATACAGTGACTGCAGCTAACGTCACTGCTCAGACAAGAACGTCGGACCAGTTCGGAGGGGTGCTGACAGGGCAACATACTGGTTGAATTGTGACCAAGTCAGCAAGGCATGGCCAAAATTCAACCACCTTAAGGCTAGCTTTAATTCTCTATGCTAGGCAAAAAAAAAACGGATGTTTCCTGGCAGTTGGATGATTAAGCCTGCCAATAGAGTTGTCCTTCTAGCTGGCTTCATTTTTTTCCCCCTAGAATTGTACTCCAGGGAAACAGTCAGCAAAACCCACTGGTTCTGATTGATCTTCAATCCAAAGTTGTGACTCTCGGAAGGTAGGAGAAATGTTGAAAAGCTGTCCCCTCTCTTCACTTTTCCTCTGGCTCAAATACATTCACCTTACAACAGAACAAACTAGAAGAAGCTTTTGTATCAAGGCAGAAAATATTTTGTCACAGGTTCAGCTACAGTAAGCATTGTTGAGGAAGAAAGCCCCATCTTTGGGATATGGCATTAGATGAATAAGTCTAGTAGGACATCTTTAAAGCTGGCCACACAGATTACAATTTGTTAGATGAAGAGAACTGTTGTTTAGGAGATACAGCCCACTTGCTCCATCTCCATCATTTTTTAAGATAAATATTTCAGGAAATGTTGTATGGCCCCTTTCACTTTTATTAAATATTGTAAACTGTATTATTTTCTATTCTTTTTATAGAGTTTTTATAGAACACGAGACAACAGATTATTCCTTTTCACTTAGTCACCTATGCCCCCTCCATGACACCCTACATAGCTATTAGTAAATGTTGCTGATCTAACTGTTCATATCTGGGCAAAGTCTGATTGCGTGTGGCCAGTTAAACTCTTTGCTTTCTCCTACTAAAAGCAAACATCTTTTTTTTGTATTATTTACCTGACGGGTTTAAAACCTTACCTCTAAAAAGAATCTTCTAATAACATGAGAAACAATATAAGTCACTTAATGTGGAGCCATCCAAATGTCTTGGTTATAAGTAAACATGTAAAACGAACATTAAACCTAACAGTTGTATGCTACCTTGATCAGGCAGATGCCATTTTCACCAAGACTGCTCATAAATGGCCTGATGCTCAAGAAAGGCTTAAAGTGTATTTCCACTTTTGCAGCCACATTAGGATAACACCTATTTTATATTTGTTACATGTTCCCATTCACATTGCATGTTAAAAAAAATAAAAATGTGTCTTGCAGTTTAAATTGCTTTTACTTGGTTAGGGTTCTAAGGGTTAAAACTTCTTATTGCTTCAACTTCTTTGAAATGTTCGGAGGGGCTGTGAGGGGTGAGGGGCCTGAGGTGGCTTGTCCATTGTATGTTACTGAAGCTCATCAGATAATTACAATCCTCAAATTGCAGGCCCAAGTCCACTTTGGAAGGGCTAAGAAAAACCTGGAATCAGCCATCTTGCCTGCTTTAACAAAACATCTAAAATGTAAGACATATTTTTAAAAAGTAATTTTTCAGTATGATGTGCGAACAGGAACACATAACAAACATATAGAGGGGTTTTCTCAAATTTGACTGCAAAAGTGGAAATACACTTTAAGTCTTTTAAAGCTACCTTAGGAGGTGGCAACGAGAGCAAACTCTGGGTAAACAGGTTGAAAAGAGAGGCAAAAAAAAGATTAATTGGCACCTGTCTCACTGCATGTAATGTTGACTTCTAGATCTATTGTTCTAGCATGCTAAAGTGAGATTTTTCCCAGTCTTACAACCTGTGTTATACGTTTAAATTTGTAAATGGAATATGTACACTGTATATATAGGCTGATTGCAAATGTATGCTTCTGTTTTACAACTAAACATGTTACATGAATAGAAAACCTACCACCATGCTCCAGCTGGTCCATAGTAATCACCAAAGAGAGGCAGACAGGAGAGAATAAATGGCACTCCCCAAGCTGTAACATGGTATATTCTAAAATAAAAAAACAAAAAATAAAAGACTGTTATAATACAAATTACATGCATGAATCATTTACAATATGTATGATATTTATATGGCAATTATAAACATTTCCAGAAGATTGAACAGACACGTTTCCGAGATAATTTTGAGGAATTACATAATTTTTTTACAGGTACTTTAGCATACAGCAGACCGAAATATAACCAATGGTAACTACTTTTCTTCATCCGGCATAGTATACATGTCTCTCTCATGGTAAGAGTTTTATATCTCAAAAGAAAATAATTTTCAAAAATAAATAAGGCTCTTAAATAATAATTTCACTGAAAGGATTAAACAGTTAACAATAAATTCATTCAAAATCACTAGCCTAGAATATTACATGATGAAATCAAGATTTGTAACAAATTAAGGTGAACACTGATGGGTAGATCTGTCATCTAAATGTATGGGCAGTTAGATATGCCTCACCAAACCACTGCAATTTTCTTCCTTGACGTTGTTGACTTATACCAAAACTGCCTTTCTAAGTCACTTTCCTGCTTCACTTGCAGGTGGCACTGCACTTCAGCAGATGTCTCCCTCCAACACAGGATAACTTACTAAAAAGAGTTGAGAATCTTCACACGCAACAAAATTCACAGCAAATTCCTATTTATTTATTTCATCTGGATACGATTGGATAATTGAAGTACATATTCACACTGTTTTTTGTATGAAGATTCCCAACTCCTTTAGTAAACAACCAAATGGCCTTGCCTGACTGCTTTTTATTTGTACCTCTCTAGCAGTTGGATGTCTTAGCATTCTGCACATTTGCTGCTTTTATATTCAATGTTGCTCCTTTTTTTGCTTTTTATTTGATAACATGCCCTGTCTGGTATTACTCAGTTATTCCCTGATTCCACCTTGCTTGCACATATTGTATATTATTCTTGTAATGGTAATTGTTTGGTTTGCATGCACTAGCATGAATGTATAGTTACAATTGTATGTTGTTTGTTGCCATGTTATTTGCTATATTCAATAACATGCACTATAAATATTACTTCCTCGAAATTAAAGAACGTACTTGTGTGATTGGTTCATTACTCAAAATACCCCCTCCTCTCCCATACCATTGTAGCTATAAAAATATATTGCTCTATACTTTTCCATCTGGTTCCAAATCCACAAAGTATTGTTAGCACTCAGAATTTGTTTAAACCTTTGTTTTTTACAAAATAGACAAATTAGGGAATGTTTGTATGTTGATACTGATTAACCATGCACTGTACTGTAATGGAAAAAATATATAATGCCATGGGAAGTCCTGTGCTCTTATTCTGCTGCAAAATATATTTTTAAAAAAACACAAAGCGGGTGTTTTATTTATCAAATATTATATCCAAGATTCAAGCAGCTTTTACTCATGATTCACCCATTTTTCTATGTAAATCTTCTGTGAAAATCATCTTCCTCTCTCTGTGTATGTATGTATGTATATAATAGTGTATCTCTCTCTCTCTCTCTATTGATATCTAGCACATATGGTGAGCGTGCTTAAGGACCAGTCTTGAAGCCATTTTCACAGAAAGATAGCTTTCTTCGGCAGAACAAAGTATGCTTGTATTTCAGCAAACATATCAATCTCACCATTCTCAGTTGTCCCATTCAGTCACAGTGTCCCAATCCCAGGACTTTACTGTTTTCCTCAACACAAACTCTTCAGAAATACTTTGTACCATGTAACAACTTTCAGCAGCTTTTGATTTCAACACACTCTTTCGTGTGCCTGGCTCTCTCAGGCTCTCCAAACCTTCCAGCCTCCCAGGCTGTTCCATGTGTGCCTCCAACACACACCACACCTGGCCTGCAGCCCAAACCACACCAACACCTTCCTCGAGCTCTGGTCTAGGCTCTTAATGAGGCTGCTCTCAGCCACCTGATCACTAGCAACACCTGACCTCGGGACTGGAGATTTCATCCTACCCAGAACCCTTAAGAAATCTCCAGAGATCCAGATCCCAGCTACAATCCATAAAAGCCGGAAGATACTGAAAGGCCAGCTTCTCCCTGTAAAACAATAAAATTCTGGTACCTTTCCGCTCCATTGCCACGCTCTGCCCATACATAGATATATATAGATATAGATATATATATCTTACTGGTATATCAAACATTCAATTTTCTCTTGAAATGCTAAAAAATGGCTAAATTAGGAGACTGTTGTTTAATGTGGTAAAACTTTTTAACTTAATATATCAGACAAAGCATTTTTCTCATTTGGTCAGTTTAAAGATGTATACATATTAGCTGATTTGTCTGCTGGGACACTTGAATGGACGCGCAGCAGCTCTCAAGAATCACTGTCAGTCACAGTGAGGAAGATCAGTGGGGAGGATCCCGTCAGACACGTCGGGATGTCTCCTCATTGAGGCACTTAGCCCCGCCCACCACCTTAAATAAGGGTTTATAGCCTTACTGTGCATTTTGGCTAATTAGAGTAAATTACATAATTTACTTATTTAGCCTAAGGAATGCATTAATCAAGAAAAGATAGAACCCCATAGTTCTCCTTTAACAGGTTTACCTATAAGCTCTGTAAACATAGATATAAAAGACAGAGTAGGTATACAAGGGACCTCATACCTTGACATTAGGAACCACACTGTACTGCTATTGACTTGATCATTCCGGATATATGATTGACAATATGTGTGGGATAACAGGTGCTGCACTTCTGCAGATGTCGTCCTACTATATCCAGTTAAATTCTCCTTTGTACTTTTACCATCCCCATCCTGTCCTGCTTGCTCCTTTTTACTCTATATTAATGGCAGTTAAAAAAAAAAAAAAGATACTGACTGAATGCATTTCAGCTAGATATATGGCACTGGTCCCACATAATACATTGTGTTACAGGAGCTAGAAGTGAATGGTCCAATCAATATGCCAAGCGACTATGCCATTAGGCCAAAGAAACAGTGCTCCATATTGATTTGGTCATGGAGGCCTAAGATACTATAGTCATTAAAGGCTTAATGTATACAGTAAAAGACCAACAGCAACTAAACATACTATAAGTGCTATGTTGGATGCATCTGAACAAACATGATTAAACATATTATAGGATGCAGAGTATGTTGGGAGTGTCTGATACCTTATTACAGTTTAACATTATTAATTTGGTTCCAACCAGATCTTCAATTTAAAATTTACAAATGATACATTGCTATCTACAAAATATGATCTAGTATAACTGGTATCATTACTATAGAAACTGAGAAAATCAAGCCATGTCAAAACTGTGAACTTTGAAAGATAGAAGGTACAAAATAATCTTCTACATTATTGTGCCTTTTTTTTCTTTAAAGAAACCTGAACAGGTACAGTATCTTCTGCATCTGGATAACGGAAAAGTCTCCAACGACAGATGAAGAAAAACAAAGCCTTGTTCCTAATGCCAAATATAATGCTTGGTTGGCATTTTTGATGATCTGTTGCAGAAATAAACCAGTCTATTTCATCTTTCATTTCAGAACTTTTAATGTCTGCATGTTTTACTTCTGAAATTTTAGCCACAGAATGCATTGGGAGCATGGAGAATTTCAAAAATCAGTAACATAACATAAATGGAATTAAAGAACATTTTTACTTTTAGCGGTCATCCTGTTTTTTTGCTTTCCATACTGTCCGAGTCCCTGACTCAAGACAAGTATGGCCACCAGGAGTCTCACTTCAATGACTCAAAGTATTGAAGCTGAATGACTGAGATGACTTGAACTGGAAAGAGTCCAGAGGAGGGCGACCAAACTCATAAAGGGGATGGAGGACATGAGCTATGAGAACAGGCTACTAAATTTAAATATGTTCTCATTGGAAGTATGGAGATTAAGGGGGGGACATGGTTTCCATGTACAAAATGTTTACCGGGGATAGTAACATTAGCAGCAAACTCTTTACAATTAACTCCATGACAAGGACGAGAGGCCACCACTTAAAATTAGTGGAGAAAAAATGTCAGCACAAGGGGCAAAGGGGTCTCTTCTCAGTTAGATCAGTCGGGGTCTGGAACTCGCTGCCACATGCTGTGATTTCTGCTGAGAGTGTGGAATCATTCCAGAGGCGATTGGACGATTTCCTCAGAGACCGTAATATACAAGGGTACAAGTACTTTTAAGAATGAGAACACACAGGGACCTATACATACGCACACATCAGTAGGACCATACACATACACACAATAGGTTAAACTTGATGGACATGAGTCTTTATTCAACCTCAAATACTATGTAACTAGTATTAAGTCAGATGGCATAGGCAGTCTACTACGTTTTTGTGTCAAAATGTCAGGAAAAATAGCCAAATACACAAATAAAACATACAACCGAACAGTTAAGAATACTGCAGACAGAATCAAACACCGCGCCAGCAGATTTTGGTTCAAGAGAGTATTAAATCAATGATGTTCAGGAGTGCAGGGCGATAACGGGGCGGCTCTCACCAGGTTCAGAACAACCTCAGCATTGCAAGACAAGACACAGAGCGCCTCCATCGCATTAACAACAAATTCAATTGGTTCTGAGAAAGGAGGCGTGACCTCTGAAACGCGAAAACCACTTCACTACCAGGGAAGACGAACAGCCGGTGGATATGCACCTTTCGTTCTGACCCTTTTATGCCTGTTTTTATTCATCCTTTGTGAGTATCTTTTATACAATTTTTTATTTGTTTATTTAAAAGTTTTTATGCGATGGAGGCGCTCTCTGTGTCTTGTCTTGCAGTTAAGAATACTGCTTCTACCATGGTAAAATAAGGTAGACATGTGAAAAGGCACATTGAGTTCCTTTCATATTAACTTGACTAACCAATAAGAGAAAAAACAAATGTACTTTTTGGTCATCAACAGAATAAAATATATACAAAACATCATAAATTCAATGCAATAACCTATGCAGTTTACCCTAGCTAGGTATATTTTTCCTGCAAGGAAACTTAGTACGTACAATACCATATGTATTGTGGCT